GGTGACCTGATGGACCGTGACAACATTGTGACCTGATGGACTGTGACAACACATGGTGACCTGATGGACTGTGACAACATGGTGACTTGATGGACTGTGACAACATGGTGACATGATAGTCTATTACAACATGGTGACCTGATGGACTGCGACAACATGGAGACCTGATGGTCTGTGACCTGATGGACAGTGACCTGATGGTGACTTGATGGACTGTGACAACATGGTGACCTGATGGACTGTGACAACATGGTGACCTGACGGACTGTAATAACATAGTGACCTGATATTAATATTAATGAATAATTAGTATGTCAAATTTATGCATTAATAATTTACTATTTAATAAAGTATTTGTATTTTGGGAATTTAAAAATTCAAATCATAAACATGATAAAAAATCAACCAAAAAATCCCCATAATTTAACATGTGTTCCTGGAAAATTCAACTATATTTTTGTAACTTATAAATAATCTGTGATTGGCCAATGATTGAAATCCCAACCCATTCCCAAGATTTGTTTTCCTAGATATAGCTGTGTTGTGTTGGTCACATGTTGCAAGACCCTGGAGACAATCACCTCCACTCGTGACTTCACTGTCATGTTCATAAACTTCAGGTCGGCCGTTCAATAGACATCTGTCACAAATACCTAATGGCAGGCAGCTTGATTAAAGTCTTCATGCTTCACTATAATTGACACATTGCTTTTTCAATTTAAAATATGTAGACAATGACTGATTTATAGCGATTCTTTTTTGCATAGGAAAATATATTGGTTTTAGACAAACAATTCTTTCCTAAGCATGAGGAATGAAATGATAAAATGAATACGTCATCCGAATTAGACATTAAGTTGTCCGGGGCTACTTGGGGGCTATTTCTGTGGTGTTTGAATCAAGGAACCCCTTAAATCATTAGGATTGTTACAAGGACCCAAATATTTCCTAAATTGCAACCACCAGGTAATTAATTTTATCATATAATGGGTAGGTTTCTCGGCAGGATAAAGCCAACGGATAAAAACGATATCCGTTGGGGTCATATGCGGATAGAGATGCAAATATCAAAGGTCAAGTAGGGACTACTTTCACTGTTTATAAACAAACATGGCGTCGCCCTCGTCATTCGGCGATCGAGTCAGAATTAACCATCGGGAATCTGGATAAACTACAGGGATAATTGCTATCATTATCAAAAGAACAGTCTAATACACTGAAAATCAGTGTCTAACTGTGACGTAGCTAAGGCATTTTATAAGTTTGGGCAACTTTGGAGATATAAATTTCAAAACAATTTTGCGAGGGCACGAGGCCTAGCCAAGCGGGATCAGTAGCCATATCTGTGCTTGTTCACCTCTGCGGCTTGAAACCTTCTCCACAAATTAAAACAGTTGGATTTGGCCGAAATATGTTTGAATTGTTACCTTGTTTCGTTTTGTCGCTGGGTGAACATCTGACTACACTTCTGAACGTTATGACAGGACAGACCGACTGTCAACAACGTCTGACCGTGGCCGTGACGTCTCATAGACTAGGGTTAGAGTAGCTTCCCTTTGACAAAGGGCAGTTACTCTAGCTGACAGACCGATGGATTGCCACGAAAGGCAATTAAAAACAATTGTTGTTTTGCGTATATGTTGCTTCGCCACTGTATAAGATTTATAAGAAACAGATTTCAGTTGGAACTATATTGGCTACTGTCATTGTCCGACTGACACATCACTTACCCTGTGACGTAATAAATATTAATGCGCGCATTCCAGGAAAACTCGCAATGTTTCGGTAATGTTTGTGAGAGAGGGAAAGCGATTCTCAAGCACAGAATTAAAGAATGACATTATATGATAAAGAGGTTATCACGCTTGTGTGTTTGTGGATGGTAAATATCCTGTATTAGGAATAAACACTATGTATTTAGCTCGCCAAGGCTCGCTAAATACAATGTTTATTCCTAATGCAGGATATTTACCATCCACAAACACACTCGCGTGATAACCTCTATATGTATGATTTAGGATTAAGGTTCTTCTTTAACAAGCAGAATGGTTAGGATGATTGAAGGGTAAAATGGATCTGTTTATCCTCCACTTCTCTATAGTGAGAAACTGTTCCTGTTTTAAGTGATCATTATCCAGGTGATGGTTCATAAACAATGCTTCCTTATTTGGAAATGGCTAATTTGTTGTCCTGGTCCTGATATGTCCTGCCTGGGCTATCATACAGCTGATAACATCATCACATAGCCTTGCTCCAAGTCTGTACTGAATGATAAGTCCATAGATGAATAGTAATTCTACCTTATAAAAGGCATGTTCAGGTGAGCAGACTTTTATAGGACCACTTGTACTTATTGTTTATATAATCTAGAAATTATGATTAGACCAAGAATTATTGCAATAGAGACTTGTGCAAGTCTAAACATTACGGTACATATGAGTTGTACAAGTGGTCAATTCCTGTACACTGTTGCTGATGTGTGTCCTTGGGGTGGTGAATCATTGTTATTTAAAGCTGTCAGTGATGACTGGAATCGCATGCAGGGCCAACTAGACAGTATTCCAGTCACAGACCATGAGGCCTATGGTTCCATGTATGTACAGTACTTGTATAACATGTCAGTGAGTGCTGTTTGTTCTGAGCTTGAAAACTTCATCTTTAAACAGAGATATTTAACAATATATTTTCATTGTTTGTGGTACATCATAAACAAATTTTCATTGATTTGAATAAATATGATAGTAGTGTGGTACATAGTTTAACCTGTAATGCCCATATTTTGAACAGATAAACAAAATGTGATATTTGCCTTCAAGACATTCACCACACTTTTCACAAAAAGCATCAACTGATTTTTAAAAAACATTTTAGTCTATAATTTTTTATTTTGAGATAATGGTAACCTGTTCTAAACATTGCAAACTTCTACATAATGATATATTTTTTATGCTATTTAAATAAAATGTCGGTGTGGAGAAAGGCCTTGTTTCATAAGTACTGATATTGTTGACCCTGGATGTCCTAGGAGTTAATTCTGGCAATCTCTGAGTAAATACTGACATGACAAGTGTAACGTCACCAACTTCCTGCACCATCTGCCTGCACCATCCATACCATCCAAGTCCATACATTAACAGACTATTCCTGACAATGGACACCACCTTCATGTCCCCGACATTGTCATATGTTTGCAGCATGATGTAACAGTGCTTTAAGCATACCTATTCTGTGGTAATCCTGTTCCTAATCCACTACTTTATAATCTACTTATAGCTGTAGATATACATGGGGTATCGACCACGTTCTCCAAGGGCTGAGTCATATTAATTTTTAGGCTCTATATCAAATTTTTAGTAAGACTTTACCAGTACATAATTTAGTGTTTATAATTTCAATTGTATATCTAATTGTGCCACCTCAAATTTCCAAGCTCTATAAATGTATTGGCTGACCTATAATTGGCCAATCAAGGCATGCTATGAAGACACACAGACAGACAGATTGTTTATTTTAGTCTCACCTCACAAAAATATTGACATAGATACATGTGATAGTCCATATAAGCGAGCCACTCGTTAAGGGTTACGAAAATGAATAGATTCTACAGGGCTGTAGGTGTTATTGTGATCAGGCTTAGAAAACAGGACTTGTAAGTAGGGTTCAAGCATGAACATGATGAAGAGAATGGTTCACAGAGATTTAAAAATATTTACAGTTTTGGAAATAAGAATGAAAGTCAAAAGGCTGCTTGTCATAACCCTATTGTTAAAAGTTTAACAATTAGAGGTTAGTAGATTTATAAAATATCGTGGCAAACTTCAAGGACGTTGATTGTATTAATCTGCATCAGAAAGAACCAGGTTGTTTTTTGTTCCTTATTTAGTTTTTGTTTACAACACTGACTGATTTATAGCACAATAACTGACTGGTGTACTCTTACGGTGGAGAAGATGTGGCATAGCTTGAGTTATCGTGGCTCTGATCTGGTAGCAGTGTCTCATCAGTTAAATATCACTGCGCATGATGTAATATGTCAATATGTGAGGCATGTATTCCTCCTGTGGATGGATGAAGCAGATGCGGGGTGCATGGCGGAAGTGACATTTACTCAGGAATCTCGGCTGCATGTTGATCAGAGTTGTTAAGAAGAAAGTCACGCATTTTCTTACATTGTATGTTATTGTACAAATTGTGTCACTGTTTGTTTATTCATGCACAATTTTACCTCCCAGGGAAAATGTTGTGATTTCTGGGTGAAAATTAGAAAAATATGTTTACAAATGTGTAGCATCCAGCTTCCCTTCAATACTGGTGTAAGTTTCTTGAAACAAGATCATTTCACTCTGGTTATATTAGATTTCAGAGGTTTATTTTAAACTAAATGATAAATACAATTATGTATTATTTTAGAGCATGTATAATAAATCAGCACTGTCAACATTTTTTTTACTTTGAGTAACATGCGATACTAGTGGTAACAGTAGTCAGGTATTTTTGAGAAACAATTGTTTAAAAGGTCCAACATAAGTAAGTACATTCCTTCTGTCACCTTGAAGTACAATAGAAGTAGGAGTGTCACGCTGCTGAAATAGCCTTTTTGTTGTTGTAGAAAACAAAAGAGGTAGAAATTGCAAATCACTGTTCATTGAGGTGCTGCAGCACTTGTCTTGGCATTGCTCCCTTGTTGGGAGAAACCTGGTGATAAATCCGAAGAACAAGAAAAATTTGTTTTCATATTTTGTTGCGAAGCCTTGGCGGCTGCCACCGACTGGTTTAAATAAATATTTTGACCCAGAAACATGCCGCAGATGTCAGAGGTTAGAGGTCAAGGGTAGCTGAATATTTCCTCCTACGATTTTGTTTGTCTACTATTTGCACAACCTGTGTAAGATAAGAGTATCGTCAGTTGTATATGGGAACTCCAGCAAATGGCTCGGCTTGGAGACATGGGAACCAGCTTTTGGCTTGTTTGACCACAGCTATGTTTTTGTCATTAACAGGTGAAGTTGCAATCACGAAGTCATCACATTTAACCCGCTGTCTGACTGGAACCACGTAAATTTCTCTTCATGTACACAGGGAGAATCCACCAGCCGTAGTTCAGGTAGGTGTCTATTGCAGTTATATGGTTATACCACATATTGTATGTAGTTAGTGGTGTATATTGCAGTTATATGCTGGGTTATACATGCATATTGCCTGTGATTAGTGGTGTATATTGTAGGTAGTTTAATATGATGGGTTATGCATGCATATTGCCTGTGATTAGTGGTGTATATTGTAGGTAGTTACATGCTGGGTTATACATGCATATTGCCTGTGATTAGTGGTGTATATTGTAGGTAATTTAATCTGCTGGGTTATACATGCATATTGCCTGTGATTAGTGGTGTATATTGTAGGTAGTTTAATATGCTGGGTTATACATGCATATTGCCTGTGATTAGTGGTGTATATTGTAGGTAGCTACATGCAAGGTTATACATACATATTGCCTGTGATTAGTGGTGTATAGTGTAGGTAGTTACATGCTGGGTTATACATGCATATTGCCTGTGATTAGTGGTGTATATTGTAGGTAGTTTAATATGCTGGGTTATACATGCATATTGCCTGTGATTAGTAGTGTATATTGTAGGTATTTACATGCTGGGTTATACATGCATATTTTATGTAGCTAGTGGTGTGTATTGCAGTTATATGCTGGGTTATACATGCATTTTGTGTGTAGTTAGTGATTTATATTGTAGGTAGTTACATGCTGGGTTATACATGCATATTGTATGTTATTAGTGGTGTATAGTGTAGGTAGTTTAATATGCTGGGTTATACATGCATATTGCCTGTGATTAGTGGTGTATATTGTAGGTAGTATAATATGCTGGGTTATACATGCATATTGCCTGTGATTAGTGGTGTATATTGTAGGTAGTTACATGCTGGGTTATACATGCATATTGCCTGTGATTAGTGGTGTATATTGTAGGTAGTTACATGCTGGGTTATTCATGCATATTGCCTGTGATTAGTGGTGTATATTGTAGGTAGTATAATATGCTGGGTTATACATGCATATTGCCTGTGATTAGTGGTGTATATTGTAGGTAGTATAATATGCTGGGTTATACATGCATATTGCCTGTGATTAGTGGTGAATATTGTAGGTAGTTTAATATGCTGGGTTATACATGCATATTGCCTGTGATTAGTGGTGTATATTGTAGGTAGTTACATGCTGGGGTATACATGCATATTGCCTGTGATTACTGGTGTATATTGTAGGTAGTTTAATATGCTGGGTTATACATGCATATTGCCTGTGATTAGTGGTGTATATTGTAGGTAGTTACATGCTGGGTTATTCATGCATATTGCCTGTGATTAGTGGTGTATATTGTAGGTAGTATAATATGCTGGGTTATACATGCATATTGCCTGTGATTAGTGGTGTATATTGTAGGTAGTTACATGCTGGGTTATACATGCATATTGCCTGTGATTAGTGGTGTATAGTGTAGGTAGCTACATGCTAGGTTATACATACATATTGCCTGTGATTAGGGGTGTATAGTGTAGGTAGTTACATGCTGGGTTATACATGCATATTGCCTGTGATTAGTGGTGTATATTGTAGGTGGTTACATGCTGGGTTATACATGCATATTGCCTGTGATTAGTGATGTATATTGTAGGTAGTTACAAGCTGGGTTATACATGCATATTGCCTGTGATTAGTGGTGTATATTGTAGGTAGTTACATGCTGGGTTATTCATGCATATTGCCTGTGATTAGTGGTGTATATTGTAGGTAGTATAATATGCTGGGTTATACATGCATATTGCCTGTGATTTGTGGTGTATATTGTAGGTAGTTACATGCTGGGTTATACATGCATATTGCCTGTGATTAGTGGTGTATAGTGTAGGTAGCTACATGCTAGGTTATACATACATATTGCCTGTGATTAGGGGTGTATAGTGTAGGTAGTTACATGCTGGGTTATACATGCATATTGCCTGTGATTAGTGGTGTATATTGTAGGTGGTTACATGCTGGGTTATACATGCATATTGCCTGTGATTAGTGATGTATATTGTAGGTAGTTACAAGCTGGGTTATACATGCATATTGCCCGTGATTAGTGGTGTATAGTGTAGGTAGTTTAATATGCTGCGCTATACGTGCATATTGCCTGTGATTAGTGGTGTATATTGTAGGTAGTTTAATATGCTGGGTTATACATGCATATTGCCTGTGATTTGTGGTGTATATTGTAGGTAGTTTAATATGCTGGGTTATACATGCATATTGCCTGTGATTTGTGGTGTATAGTGTAGGTAGTTTAATATGCTGGGTTATACATGCATACTGCATGTAAAATGAAAAGCCAAGCAAGGGACCAAAAACACATCCTCCATGTCTCGTGGATGATTTTTACTTGAAAACGTATATATATGCTGTATTTTCTTGTGCAAGTCATTTTGTATCTACTAGTTTGACTTTAGCCTCCAGGTGAGAATCGGCCCCCAGTCAGTTATGATTGTCTCCCCGTTGGGATTCCAGCTTAGAATTGGTTCCCTGTTATCTAGGCTTGTCGTATGAGGCGACTCTATTTATCAGTGGTTACCAGTCACAGTGATATATACATAGGCAAAGACAACAGTAGTCTTGCATTGTTGTGTAATACTTGTTGGGCAATTTGTTCGAAATATGACTCGGTTTACCCAGCAGTAAATGGATGGCGGAGTCTGGCAGTATAAGGTAGGTGTGTGCCCCTGATGGTGTTATTCACCTGGTTGAAGTGGAACATCTCCGGTATCTGAGCTGACAGGCTACACATGAACTTTGGCACTTCGGTACTGTAATCCACTCAACAAACAGAAATGTCTGTCATGGGTTCAGTGTCTCATGATAATAGTGCTGACAGTGCTCTCTTCTGAATCTGAAATACTAATCTTCAATACTAATCCAATAGTGTTTCTTGTGATGTTTGCACACAAGTGGACGTTATTTTGGGCAGCGATTTGTGTAGATGGATTTGTTGTGTTTCATAACACCTATTGAAACGGATCTGTACCTCATCACAGAAGGTCATGCTGACACTAAGGTCAAGGTCATACACGTTTACACCATTAGGACAGCATTTCGTCCAACCAATGTCAAGGTTGCATGCACCTCTATGAACAGTACAGTATGTCACACTGCCAAGGTCAAGGTTAAGGTTGACATGCAAGTGTCGAAGCACATGATAGATTTCCCTTGAAGACCTAGGTTAAAATTGATGATCAGCAACCCATGCTTGTCCATCCATGCTTGTCGTAAAAAGTGACTATGCTTGTAGTAAGAGGCGACTAATGGGATTGGGTGGTCAGACTCACTGATTTGGTTGATGCGTGTAATCGTATCCTAATTGTGTAGATTGATGGTCATATATCAACTTTTGATTTTCTGGTCCAGACTCGATTATTAACTAACTGCAGTCATGAGGCTGGAATATTGCTGATTGGCTAGTTACATATTCCATATTAATATCTTTCACATTAGGACTCTTCCACACATTCACCAGCATTAAGGTGATCAGTCTTAGAAACTCGTCTTTTACGAGACTTGTATAGAGGACTAATGGAAATATTGTTTCACTAGTTGTCAGAATTTGTTGCTCTTCCTGCTTGAGTGAGACAAAGCTGTTTACTATGATTACATTTACTGTCAGTTGAGTTCAGTTCCATTGGTAGCAAAATTGAAGCTTCGAGTACTGGTTCAGAATTAAATGAGTGAGTAAGTGAGTATGGTTTTACGCCGCTTTTAGCAATATTCCAGCAATATCACGGCGGGGGACACCAGAAATGGGCTTCACACATTGTACCCATGTACCCGGGTCTTCAGCGTGACGAGCGAATGCTTTAACCACTAGGCTACCCGACCGCCCCTTCAGAATTAAAACCCTTAATATCTACTTGTGAATGAGGACTACTACCATTGGATGTTTACTTGATAGTTTCTTGTCCATACTGGTGGACTGGCGTAAATTCTGAAGGCTGGGAGATGTTTGCTAGTGCACTGGGCAACATGTTTGTAGATGTCATGGAACATGTGGATGGCACATCCAGCTATGCAGTGGAATAACCCAATGTCAGGATGGCAAATGTGTTCAAAAACACAAGAAAAAAGTGTCAGCTGTACCTTGGTAGGCTAATTTATGCATGATCATCCATTGCTTGATAACTTCTTGTAATAGACTGTATATTGTTCCTGTATTGTTCGTGTATTGTTCCATGATCATCGAACATACCTGCGTTGTCACTGAGAAAATACGTCTAGACACAAATAAGGTCAAAGGTCAAAGGTCAGAGGTTATGGGACAGATTTGATAATTTTTCGGAGTCCCTTGTGGAGTGTCTTATCTTGGTGTTGACAGGTGTGACTTACAATGTAATTTATTTAGTGAAATCAGCAGTGTTTGAAATGGTTTGTGAATTAGAGCGCAGGGTGAATATCACCCCTGCCTGTTGTCTGTCAGATCACAGGTAGTCGTAAGTATTGCAGTATCATTGTGTTGCATAGTACTTGATCCATTTCGTTGGAGATTCATTGGATTTTTGTGTTCCATATCTTAACGGTTGTTTGTGTGGAATATTTTGAAAAAAGCTCCTTGTTGATGAATTATTCAATGCTTCATTTGCATTTGTGATTTTGAATGTTCCGTTCTATGAATGTATTACTTAAAGGGCAAGTTCACACGAAAATGAACCTAATTTTCTTGTACTTTTTCCACAATAAAAGTGTTAACCTAGAAGTGTCATAGACAAAAAAATAAAAATATCACAATTAATTAACATATGTTTTGCATTAAAACGATTTATATTTTTCACATTTACCAAGTGTTCTATTTCCATAACAAAAACACCATGGATTATGCCCCTTGCAATATGACGTCATTGGTGCCAATTGATAAACATTATGACGTCATCATGCTTTGTTAGAGCCGCTTCACGTGGTGTAGGTACAGGTGTGTGATTCTAGCGTCTCAGATGCCAGCCAGCATAGTGTTATGCTGAGTCACCACTGCGCCGGAGTGTGTCGTAGGCAATGTTGTTTTACCG